CCCCCCCCCCCCCCCCCCCCCGTCAATATAACTTATGTTATTTAAGAGCCGAGCTTTCGCCGAGGCTGTCATGGCCGGCTCTGGGCTTAGATAGATTAAAAGTGTCAGCTGAAAGCTCGACATACTCGATAAACTTTTTCCCTCTAAGGAATCGAAAGTAGGTCTCCCGCTTGTGAGGACGAAGTGCCCAAATGGCACATTACAGATGCCGGTGTTCTTGGTCTATCTCTACCTCTTTTGCCTTCTGTCCCCCCTGCGAGAACATGATGTTCTAGGCCTTAACGGAGCTGTATGTGTCCCAGAAACTACATACATCTCTTTTCACCCCCCCCCCCCAAGGGCAGTGGTACTGACTGAATTGTCTTTAGGCCATTCTCAAAGGGGGAATGCTCTTATGCACAGTAGAATTGTAAATGGGCTGATTTATCGTCATGCTCATACTGTGCCGGAACAACATGGGGGGAACTGCTGCTTTTTTCCCTCATCCTTACTATCGTCGTTTTCCCTCTACTTCTTTTGTACTTTTGTCACTCACCTGTGAACTGTTATTTCTGGGGTGCCTTGATAGTCGAAGCAGACTTTGTGCTGTTGAGGCTAGAAAGGTGAGCAGAGTAAGCCTGATTCCCCGTTTGGACTTTTCCGTTGACATCCACCCCTTGGTGCTCATATGACCTTATGTAGTTGCGAGCGCCGTTAAATCTTACTAAAACATATTTCAAACACCGTTTTATTTGATTAGTTTACTGAGTTGTCTACTAGGGCTTCTTTCAGCACTACCTTAAATGGTTTAAATTCCATCAGTAATGATATATTCGATGAAAAATTATGAAGACATAAGACGTATAGAAGAGATATAATTGAATGGCGAAATATGAGATGAAATTACTAGAAACATAAATGGGATCATGGATCCATTGGCAATAGATGTTTGAAAACTGTGACTAACCTTAACCAGAGTCATGACAAACGAAGATGCCTCCAGAGCTCCACACAGAAGACCTACGACAGCCGCACCGCCACTACTGAACATGTAGGACACCTGAACAGGAAGAATCAGTGCTATATTAATCACGCGAACACTCCAGTTATGTCTACAAGCGTAAATGAGAATAGAATAGCGGATAGTTTATGTAAAATACAACATCAAAAACACACAACGTAACCACGGGAGACACATGGGGTCGTCGAGATAAGAACTCTCTTTCTCTCTCTCTCTCACTCTCTCTCTCTCTCTCTCTCTCTCTCTCTCTCTC